TATTAATGATATGACTCTTCTAACTTATATGGTATGAATTTAAGGTGTAATTAATATATTTTTATTTATTAAATTATATAAAAATTTTAAAAATTAATATTAATTTTAATATTAATAATATATGTATTAATTTAATTAATTATTAAAATTAAAATTAAAATTTATTTTTTAATATAATTTAATATTATAATTAAAAAATGTATTAAATTTCACTTAACTTATGTTATTGTGATACATGTTAAAATAATTCTTAATATATATATAAACAGTACTACTTAGTTAAAATTTATTCTATTTGTATTGTTAGTAAAGTTTGTTTAATTAAATTTATTTATTTAATATCAATACTAAAATTAATATCAATTTATATATATTTATATATATTTACAATTAAAAAAATAATCTTAACATATATCCTCAAAAGACAAATTAAAAAAATCCTTCCAAGTAAAACCTTCCAGGGAAGCATGTGTAAGCACATGCACTTATTTAAAACATTCTTTTCCCTTTTTCCAATATATGAAAGTTCAAACTTCAAAGAGCCTTACCATCCTATCAAAACAGAGTCTGCAGGCTGGGTAGAGGTCATGTGATTATAATTAATTACACAACTGCAGAGTTACACTGAAGATCAAGACATGCGCCCCTAATTTCCTGAGCGCCTCTTTATTATTCAAAACACAACAGAGATTCAGGCAGAAATACGACAATATAACCTATTTATCAACAGCAAAGCATAATTCACTGTTGTTGTTTTAACCCTTCAAATAACAAATAGCGTTTTTGATGATTTTGCTGTTGATAAATAGGTCAGGAATAAGGTGTTGGAAGCCCAACTGCATAAGCATATTTCACTTCGATCGTTGCGGATGTGGCATCATCACGCCCAATCACTACGAAAAATAGACATTTTGTGATATTTAAATTAATTACAAAAATTTATATTTTTTGTCACAAATTGAATTTATATCTAAAATTTAAATTTTTATAATCAATTTTATCATTACAAAATACTAACCTTTTTTGTGGTGAATCCAAGATGTCATCACAAAGGAATATGCTGATACGTAAACCATGTCGTGCCACCGTGGCGTTGGTCCTCCTGTTAAAATGCTCCACTTGTGCAAATGTCAGCA